GCCCCCTCCGGGCCGCGCCCCCCGGCGCCAGCGGCTCCTCCAGGTACTGGACCAGCGCCTGTGCCTGTGAGCAGAGACAGGGAGGGGTGAGCCCTGCCCGGGGGGGTCTGCAGCCTCCACCTGCTCACCCACCTGCTCACTTTCATTTTCAATTTCATTTTAGAGCCTTAAAAAGCTGGGATGCAGCACCCGGGCTGGCACAATGAGGAACAAGGCGTCCCGAGCACCGCAGCTTCCTCCACCACTTCCCTCCTCGCCCTTCTCTTCCCCACCCTGCAGTGGGGATGCAGCCCTGGGCCCCCCCAACCCCCAGTTCCTTGCCCCCCCAGCATTACCTTGGCCTTCAGCATCCCAAATCCAACAGTCTCCTTGGCATACATGCAGAGCAGCAGGTTTGCCACCCGTGTGATGGCCACTCGTCCCTCCTGCCCAGGAGTGAAACAGCCCTGGTCACACCCCTGACTTGGTGGGGTCCCAGAGCCCCCCCAGAGCCACGGCAGTGCCCAGGGAGAGGGCAGAGCCCAGCCCCACCTACCATGCAGTCCATCAGGATGAATTTGAGGTTGTCCTCATTGAAGGCCTGGTGCCCATTCTTGTCATAGGCCACCCAGATGTTGCTGGCGATGGCAGCGGTGACCCTGGCATCAGTGTCCCCGTAGCCCGAGTAGGCCAGCAAGGACCCCTCATTGTTCAGGAGCCTGGAAATGAGATGGGGGGTGGGATTGGTGCATCTAACCCCCCCCTGGGGCACCAGCCTCCAGGGCAGGGCAGCAAGGGGCGGCGGTGGTGGGGTCTGTGCAGACTGGGCACGGGCCTGGGGGGTGAGAACTGTGCACCGTGCATGGCTCTGCCACTGTGCATGTCCCCAGCACCAGCACATCTCCTGTGTCCCCAGCACCAGCACATGTCCCATGTCCCCAGCACCAGCACGTCCCGTGTCCCCAGAATCAGCACATGTCCCATGTCCCCAGCACCAGCACATGTCCCACGTCCCCAGAATCAGCACTTGTCCCATGTCCCCAGTACCAGCACATCTCCCGTGTCCCCAGCACCAGCACGTCCCATCTCCCCAGCACCAGCACCTCCCCAGCACCAGTACAAGTTTCCAGCACACTTATTTCCCAGCATCGTGCCTGTTCCCAGCACTATCACATGTCCCATGTCCTCAGCACCAGCACATGTCCAGTAGCATCACATGTTCCCAGCCCTGTGCCCGCCCTCAGCACCATCCCATGTCCCCAGCACCTTACACATCCCCCCTTCTCCTGTCCGTGCCCCTTGCCAGCATTCCCAAGGCAGGGATGGGGTGGGGGGAGGAAACAATTCCCAGCAGCATGGC